AAGTATGTAAGCTTATGCAAGAATAAGGTGCATTATACTAACAGCAACACAACACAGGGTAGGCGTTATCAAATAGAGAATGTACTTTATATGATAGATTCAATAATGGGTACTAGTTCTTTATACTTTGGGGGTACAATATACAAGCAAATTAAGGGAATGCCACAAGGGGCATCATGCAGTCCACAGACGGCGGACTTGACTTTAGCATTCATGGAATATGATTTCATAAGATAACAAATCAATACGCAAGATAAGATTAGAGTTAGAAGATATCATCATACGTATCGATGTATAGATGATATATTCCATCTGTTTAGTGACATAGAAATGTATCACACTTCAAAAAGAAAGAAAAGACGAACAAAAACAATGAGGCTAATTTTTTATAACATTTAAGGTTAACGACAAGGCTGATTTTCTCCTTCTACAACAAGACAATAACTACAATTTTAAGGTCATTAGATACCCCACTGGTCATCTAATATACCAAGATATATTTTATTCAATACCTTTACTTCAGAAATTCAATATATAGGAACTGCTCTGATCACATTACTTTCAAAACAGAGTCATTGAGCTAAGCCAGAGTACGAAGAATAATGGGTGGGATCGTAGTATATTTATAAGAATTTTATACTTCGCGTTATATAACAGACCCTTCATATCATGCAAATATAGATTTGCCACAGGAGTTCCCCGTCCACTTATACATGAGCACAACACATGGCCTATTGACAATAGTTCACAGAGAACAGGCGGGAAAATAAATCTGACATAATAGGGTCCGTGGAAGATAATGGTTACTCATCCTTTCTATTCATATTTAACACATTAGACTTTATTGTCTAAGATAAAATTCTTTGTTAATATATTGTAATTAGTACTGTATAACTTTTGTCGACCTTTGCCAACTTCCTTGGAAACTACTGATGAAAGCATTTTCAAACACGGGGGCACCAAGGAAGTCGCACTACCGGTCTAGTTCTTAGCCCCGAAACCGGAACGTGTGAAAATACTTTCATATCCTCTTTTATAGCATATCTGCAAAACAAACTGCATGAGTATTTCATAGATACATTCTAATTTTCATCATTTAAAGATATCTTGCACTGCTAGCTAGACGGACAACTGCTTCAAAGGGGTCACACTATCACAAGAAAAATACGGTCGAGAAATGCAGATTATTAGTATTTTTTGAAGATGACTTATATGAGTTTGGAGGAAAAATGATGAATTACTCAGATTAGATAACAGCGAATTGAAAAATACAGATCTGCGTTATATGTCCTGCATAATGTGCACCCTCTATATGTTTCGACTGAAGTGGGTTACGTACCCACGCACTGACAAGGGAAGGATGCAGAGTCGCAGTGGCGATCCACCAAGGGATGTATACCATAAGAATCTCTATCAAAAATGTTTCCCAAATCTGTTTATATCCGCTGAACAACATTCTGGGAAGAGCTGCACGCGTTTTTTCGTGCACAATTTCTAGTAAACGCTTGTCTAGACAAACTATAGCAAAGACGCTTTTGCGAGTGTGATGGCGCAGTGGTAAGTCTCTTGCGCGCAAGTCTTTCATAACCTTCGAATCCTGCAAACAGTTTGTTTTGCATTACTATTTTTAAATTGCTGAATGTGTGTAGAGCAATATGGTACATTTATATCCTTTATTTTTTCAAAAAATGCAAAAGTTTAACTAACGGATGAGCACTTACCAAGCCCAGGTACTTCTCAATTTACATTTTTACTTTCAGATTAGCCTTATGAGCATAGTCATAAGAAAGCACAAAATGTTCGAAACAAGAAATGTTCTCGCAATGTGCACAACGAACAAAAAATACATCTTTGTGCTCATCCGTTAATTAAAAGCATCAAATTGCTCTACATACATTCAGCAATTTGAAAATAGTAATGCAAAATAAAGTGACATTGCAGGATTCGAACTCGGTTGTAAGCGATTCAAGCGCTAGAGACTTACCACTGCGCCATCCACTCGCTCAGCGTTGTTGCTATATTTTGGCTAGACAAGCGTTCACGAGAAATTGAGCAGGAAAAAACGCGTGCAGCTCCTCTCAGAATATCATTCAGCAGATATGGAAAACAGATTTGGGATACATTTTTTTATAGAGATTCTTATGGTATACATCTTTTGACGGATCGCCACTGCGACTCCGCATCCTTCCCTTGTAAGTCATTGAACGCGTGCCGACTACTTATGGGTACGGCCACTTCTCTAGACCGCAAATTAAATGTTATCGAAGAGTAGTGTTTCAATTTCTGAGCTCTGCTGCTTTTAAAAGTGAATCTCTGGCGCGGCATCCGAAGATGCATGTGTGCATGAACGGATTCTAAAAAGCACAGCTCAAAAATTGTACCGCAGCGCTTCAATTAACACTCAGTTTGCGAGTCAGAGTGATGGTGCAAAACCATTTTCTCACATGAAACATGCTGTTTCACCATTACCACGTTACGCTTCTGAAGCAAACGTTGTTTCCGAAATGTATACCTGCACAAGTTTTACAGCACCCTTTTATCCGGATAAATGATCTTCTCATAAGGCCGCATGCACCCGTGTATTTGGCCTATTCCGCCTCGCTTGGGGTGACCTTTCTTCTTTATATTTTAACTCTTTAAAAAGAGGTTACTCGATAAAAATCAACACACCACATCCAAATCTAACTATTAATATTGCTGATGTACAACAAACTAAATCATTCAACCCATCAACATTTGGCTTTCCTGGTCAACCTTTTATAGACCAGATCTAGCTCCATCAGATTACCATCTATTTAGGATGCATCACTATTTAGAGGGTAAAAGGTTGGATGGTTATGATATAAAAAATGGGGTGGGTTAGTATTCTGACTCGCAGCCGGCCAAGTTCTTTGAGAAAGGCATCCGATCTTTGCGAGAAAAATGAAGCGTAGTTTAAGCAGAGATTACCTTTGGACTGGCCGTTGTTTTTTAGAGTTTAATAATAAGTTTATTTGTATGCTTAATGTGTATTTTTTTGGCCCACCTAGTACAAATAGAACTATGCTCTTATAGATGACTTTAGTCCTAGGTCGCCTTCTTATGTCACTAAGGAGCGCCCTTATCGGGTAAAAGGATAGTTGCACTGAAAAATAGTCTTGAAAAACTTCCTTTTCATAATTACAATGTTCGTTATGATCATCTCATTTCCATCAAAGAAATGCATCATTAAAATATTTTTTAGACGACAACGACTCTAAATTAGTGTACTTTGGAAACATAAGCAATTTCACTGAATACAACATACCCTTGTGGTTCTGCCTAGTGTGTATACCGCAGCACGAACACGACCACGGAGGAGTCTGAAAGAGTCACAATGAGTTTTAATCCAACATTTCAACCTTCTAGCTTCAGAATAACGCTAGCCGTTTTTTGTTTTCTTCTCGACGCAAAATTTGAAACTGGTCTAAAACAGTGCCGCAGTTTCGTTCGTAATCCTCGAGCGTAGCTAGCTCCAATTCAGTCAATCCATCTTCTACCATGGAGATAATTTAGAAAGGGTTAAGCAAAAAACCATTTCATAAAGTTACCATCAGCTTGATGCTCTTCATCAATGACTGCACTGTCCTCACTGCTTTCAACTGCCTCGGGTTCCCCATTATTGCAATTTGCAACCACACTATCTGGAAAATTAGAACATTGCTTTAAAATGTTGGCGATTGAAACATGGGAATAGTTTTCTTCCTACTTGTGTGAGATAGGGCTATCATAGATATCTCGTGAGGTGTAAGTGATAATATTCTTCGTTCGAGGGCTGATTCTGGACAACAGAAGCGATGACGTTCTTCTGAAATTTATAACCTAGAAGGAGGCACACAGTTAAAAATTGATTACATTTTTCAAATCATAGCTTTCCATATCAAAATATCCTTAGCAAACTTCATATGCTAATTAAAGAAAAGTAACTTGTGCTACTTTCCAAAAATCCATGTTCTAATCAGTATGACATCAGAATTATTTCGCAAAAAATAATAAAGAAAAATGATTGGTA